GATTATAATTCAAATTTTAGTACTACTTATTACTCAATTTCTTAATTTAAAAGCAAATATTAAAAAACACAGATAAACATCGATTTTTGTGTCACAAAGTACGTTGAATGCAGCATTAATTAAAATTAGATGTTTGTGAAGTCAAAATACCAAGTTTATAGTTTCAAATGAATTAGAGACTCAAATTACCAATATTGAATATATTTTATAGAATATAAAATAAGAACCTCTTATATTTTCAGTTTGCTAAGATATTGCTTGTGTCATAAATCAAACACAGTGGCACCCCGCCCACCTCTTTCCAATTTTGGAAATGCTCACTTATATACACTTACTTCTATATATGACATGAATAACAAATCAGAAGCTCAGAATGTCCCCCTAGTGGCTTTCTCAGCCATTTTAATGGACTTAGCACCATTTCTGTCGTTCAAATCAATATTCAGGATAGGGTGTATCTTTAGTCTGCTTGAAATTTCATATTATTTTAGACTAAAATACATCTTAGTTACTAAGATTGATAAATTATAGTGGAATTCTATGTATTAATGTGGTAATTTATGATTTTTCTAGTTATTCAAATGTATATATAAAATCTAAAAAATTATTTTGTTTCATATCCTCTACCTGAAAATTTTTAAAGACTTAGCAACCTATGTAAAGCAGCAATCCAGAACAAAGATCATAACTAGAAGGCTCGCACAGTAGATGTTAATACATGCAGGGATGAGAGTTTCATTCAAGAGTTATCACATACACAACTGTGTCTGCAGTGAGAAACATTTCTGAAAGTACTGTAACTTTGAATGTACATTTCATTTCTCAAAAGTTAGCATTTTCTTAAATCAAAAATGTATTTCCAATAATACTTAACTCCTCTCACACTACAGCTATTACTCAAATGTTAGGGATTCTTTTCCTTTGCCCATCTAAAGCATTGATCTGCTTTCTTCTCTCTTCCGCCAGTCTTTTATTCCCAATTGAATTGCCCTTGGAAATATCTGTCTTGTGACATTCTCCACCTATGTCAAAGTGCCCTCTATCCTGGTACTGTATATAAGAACCTCCTTGAGATAATATTGTCACTTTTTTGAGACTGACCCAATTTGCAGTCTTTAACACCAGCTCTTAGTGGGGAGTATGTTAGTAAAGGTAAGTATTATTGGAAATAGATATTTGATTTAAGAAAATCCTAACTTCCAAAACATATTTATCTCCTCTCACACTACAGCTAGAATCCCACATTAATAATGTTGAGAGTCCTGGTGAGGGCAATATCCATACAGAATGCACATGCATAGATCATGGGAGCACCAAAAGAAATAGAAGATTAGCACCCTAGAGGGGGGAACTGTACTACATCCAGTACAGGTATGCTCTTTACCTGGAACCTAAATAATGCACCCGTCATCCTTCCTCACCACTAGCCAGGCAACAACTAGGTAGCTGAGGTCCCACTGCTCATGATTGGAATTATAGGGCCATGGCCCCTAAATCCCATTTTGGTGGCTGGGGCATGTGGATCCCAACCTGCAGCTATAGAGTGATGCATTCTAAACCACCTGAATCACGATGAGAAGGTAAGCATCATGGAAGTGGACAAACCCTGTCCTAAACCTGAGGAAACAGAACTCATTGGGACTAGAATTATGAACACTTATCCTCACTCCCCATCCATGTGGGCAAGGTAAATTCCACTTGTCCCTGTAATTATGGGGAGGATGTGGAACAAACTGTGCTCAACCAAGAATCCAGAATGGGACCACTCTGTGTTCAGAATTATGAGGAGACAATGGACCCTCTTTCATGAACAATGTACTGAACCTATATTGATTAAAAAGAAGGGCCATGCTCAACCCAACCAGATAGCTGAGCATCAAATCTGATCCAGTATTATGAGTAGGCTCCTGCATAGAATGGTACCACTCTTACTAACATCTGAGAAAAAAAAGCATCCAAGGGCCTGGGTAGGAGGGCCTCCAACTTCACCCTCTTCCACAAGAGTGAAGGAAAGTCACTCTAACACTCTGGAGAAATAAACTCTGTCCACCATCCCAGTGACTGGAAACAGGAAGTGGTGAGGTCTCCCTAGTGCCAATAGTATAATATGGGGGGATGGACAATGCGCACTGTGGAGTCCTGGGGAACAATGTTCTGGAAACACTGCAATAAATGAACAAGTTCTCTAAATCAACCCTGATTTATGCAATCTGATGATCGGAAAGGACAGGCAGAATACCCTTATGCTTTACTCATGATAGTTCATGAGTGGTGGTCCAGAATGGTACAGTAATACCACCTGGTCTGTCTCTAGGTGGTCTTATGGAACACCGCATTTCTACAAAGCCTGTTGCAACCTAGAAAAATTATATTGTGGTAGCGGTTGCTACTGCAGATATGGTTTGATAAAAGCACACCTAACTGTGCAACCCTCGCCACAGAGCAGATTCCTGTGAAAAAAGGTTTTGAGAACCTGGAAAAACCTCACAAAAGTCTCTTCACTTCCAAAGAGAGCACACAATAAACAATATAGATCAATTTTGGTACTTACCCCATCAAAGTAACCAGGGATAAATCCTGGAAAACTGAAGGGTCACAATGAATAAAAAACTGTTGTCTAGCACATCTAAAAGCTTTAGTGCAGGCAGCATAACCCTTCAAGGCCCTCACTGGACATAACAAATGATCAGGATCCAATCGGTTATTGTGGCGAGATGAATCATTGAAAACCATTTATCGCCTTCCCTGGCTGGTAGTGTCCTAGGTAAGAAGGACCTGTCTGGGTATAGAAAAACATAGGTAGATTGATAAAGTGTCCTGTGCTCGTGCAATGCAAACAACTCTGACTGGCAATATCTGCAGACCAGCAGCAAGAAAAAATAAACCTTAAGGGAACAGTGATACATAGTACATGAGGCTAAGCACTCAAATGGATGTTAAGAAAGAGCATGTAACACCACCCTTATATCCCAGTTAGGTAACTGAAACAATCATTTGGAATGAAGGACCTGAAACGACTTGAAGAAGTCAGAGAGCACTGGGGATTCAAAGAATTTCCGTCTCTTTGAGTATCTAAAGGTAGCCAATAAGGCAACCTTATATAGGGCAATTGTGAAAGATGCAAAACCTTGTCTCAGAGCCAGGTCAAAAACTGAGCTATGGTTGGCACATCTGGTCAAAGTGGGTTCAATAGCCTCGCAATACACCATTGTTGATATGTGTGCCATTTCCATTGATAAATGAACATCACTGGATGAGGCAGAGACTGAGACAGGTACATGCAATCTTAGAAATTAAACCCAATGCCGTGCGAAGAACCACATAACCTCCATGCAGGAAGCTTGAGTATTGGAATGGATGGGTGTAAGATGCCAAATCACGACTACCTCAACAGAGATGGCCAAAACGAAAGTGGAAGAAGTGGGCACACCTGAAGGTAATGCAAAAGCAAAAACTAAGGTTGAGCCAGTCAATCCAGTGCTACCAACAGAATGCTACAAGGGTTCAAACGAATCATGGCTAGGACACTGGTAAAAGACAAATCAGTGGGTAGGCATACAGGTGCAATCCAGTCCAGTCCTGACTGAATGCATATTTAGCCAATGCTGGATGGTAAGGTACCAGAGACCAAAATGACTGCTGTTGAGTGTTCCAATAGATGGCAAATGCACTAATCATTGGTGTCCTGAATCATGAGCAAATCCAACAGTAAACCACTAGATGAAGCATTCATTCTGTTTGGTCGAGACAACTGATCCACCACCAAAATCATCACCCCTGGAACATAGCAAGCTAGTGGGATGATACGTTGGGAGTGGGCCCAATATAGAAGATCCAAGGTTTGAAAACAAGAAGACCCGGACCAAGCGCCCCTGGAAGAACTGGAATGACTCTCTTAACCAACAAATCTCTGATAGCCGAGGAACAAAGTTCCGAAATCCAAGGATCTGTGGGAGATGGTACACTTCAGACTGGGAGGATAATAGTGGTGAAAATGTGAACTGAATGACTAATCCTGATGCAAGGACCTGTAGTACTCATGGATCTGTAGTAAAGGTTTTCCACACAACCAGAAATTCTCAGAGCTGAGCCCCCACAGACCCCAAAGGTATATGGCACTCACCCCCGCCACCGGCAGCATTCTGACCAAGTGGACGAACATTATGGATATGGACAGAATCTATTCTGGGTACCAATGGACCAAGAGGCTGATGTAGGGGGTCAGGACACTTAAATAGGGGCTAAACTATCACCCCCTGTAGGCACTCAGGAAAGTTGAGAAGCCAACAACAACAGGAATGAATCCACACAAGTGACATGAAGCCTGGATTCTAAAAACTCTGGAATACCTGCAAAAATCAGTGGTTGGAGAAAGGGGGGCTTCACATAACTCACGGAGAACAGCAGCAGGAAGACAAACACCCTCCAACAACACATCTCTACCCAACATACCAGCCAAGAGACTAAGGAAAGTGCAGAAGCTGACAATCGAATCAAGGTGGATGCCAACAAGGGTCCTAACTCATCATCAAATTGATGTGGCAATCACTGAGAGGCTTCCAAAAAAAAAGTTTAGGGATGATAAATATCTCGGGACCATAGTCAGGGTTAGACGAATCCTTGAAATTTATGATCTATTCAGATTGACCACAGACTCTGTTCTATAACCCCACATTTCCAGGAGTGGGTTTATTCTCTGAGAGTATAAATACTTCATCTGATGGTGGTAGGCTAAAGCATAGCTGTCCCTTCAAGTAACTGAGCAGTTAACCTCTCTGCATGAACCACAATACCAGGGGATGGAGGAAGAACAAAGTACTTGCTCTCAGACGTTTCCACCATAAAGAAAGGCACAGATTCAAAAGCAACTGGGAAAAGACCTAAAGCATCACACACTCAATTTACCAACTGAAGAAAAGAAGCTGGAGACAGCTGATCCAAATTGTCCTCATGAGAAGCTAACAGAGTACAGAAAGGTGCTGGAAAAAAGTGGATAGGGTCACAGACAGTCTCAACCAAGAACGACCCCACCACCACCTCCAATTCTTGAGCAATGCAAGATATCAGAGGTGGAATAGGAAATACCGGATGTGCCTCCATGCTGTATATATTAATCTGAGAATTCATGCCATACATCAGCTTGCCAAACAAAAAAAAAAGTTTCTTTTGTACGAAAATCAAATAGGTAACACAAAGAACATTTAAAGTATCTCTAATGGTCATATTACATACAGTGAACACCTTGTCAAGAAAAAGTGACAATATTATCTGAAGGAGGTGCTTATACACAGTATCAGGTTAGAGGGTGCATTGACATAGGTGGGGAGTGTCATGAAACAGATATCACCAAGGGCAATTGAGAGGGGAATAAAAGACTGGAGCAAACAAACAAAATTCAAACTGATGCTTAGATGGGCAAAGGAAAAGAAACCCTAACAGTCGAGTAATAGCTGTAGTATGAAAGGAGGTAAGTATGATTACTATTTTACCTTTTTTTAGGAACTATACATTTTCCTAATAAAGCAAGCAATTCAAGTTATTTTTTTTTGTTGAGCCTGCCATATCTGTTATTCTTATACATGTGTATTGCTCTTCACATTTTTTTTGTTATTTTCACATATGTTCAGAACTCTAGGTTGTGGCATTAGACAAGGCTTGCATCAATAACCTTACTGTAAAGCTTGTATTTGAAAAACGTTACCTGTGTTGTTGTGACACCTGAAGATTGTGGAACTGGTGATGCTGGTAGGACAGGGCTGGTGGATGATGAGTCACTGCTGCTATCATCGTCACAAACTAGCTCTCCTCTCTGAAACATATCACATAGATGTAGTCATTAAGCAGTTATATGCTATACATGATTTAAGTACATAACCAATAGTGTTTCACCCAAATACTGAATAACCAGCTGCTGAATAATTGATAGATGTTTTAAATGGTTCATTAGTTTGTAAAGACTATGGAACATATAAGTAAACATGAGTAAGTAATAACAATAATAAAGAATCACATCATTCCAAAAGAGTATTCATATTGTAATTGGCCCTGTCTACCATTTACAATTGCTACTAATAATTGTCAACAGAGATGAAATAATCTCATGGACAAATATTCTTCTTCAAACCTCAGCCTGTGGCATGCCCTGGAACATATGCAAGTTCAAACATGTCAGCAGGTGTTTTAGTCATTAAAAGAGACATATACACACCTGTCATTTGTAGTGCACACACACACACTGATCTTTGAGATCCTGAGTTAGATGATAATTGTTACCAGGATGAATAGTGATTCAGCAATAACCTCTATCTTCACTAATTATCAAAAGTGATTCAATATATAAAAAAAAAGTTAATAAAACAATGTGTCTTCAATAAATTATAAGTGATGCAATTATTTTTCATGAACTACTATGAATACAATTTAGTAATGCAAAATAAAAATAGCTAGGCATACTAAATATCTTTTTCTGAAAATATGTGGACAAATGTGTATGGGGTCAGTTCATTGGAACGAGCCCATACTGAAGAATTAATGTTTATTGATGGAACTTCACAAAATTTGTTAAGCTCTCAGTAAACATTACAAGTATGTTGTACACTAAAAATCAGAAATCTTAATAAAGTATTTCTACTAAAGTTTTGTCTCCAAATTTACTTGCTGATGACTAATTATTTTGTAAAATTGATTAAAATACACTCAAACATGCAAGATCAAGATAACTGCATACAAAACCATAATATTTACCTACAGCTGTACCACACTAAAATTCATTTAGTAAGACTTGTTTGACATGAAAACTGGTTCAAAATTGAATGGATTTAAAAATACAAATACAAAACATATGTTACTGATAACTGAACTTATTTAATCATTTTTAATATCTCTAATGAAAATATAAAGCTTATTAATAAAGATTATTAATTGATTTTTTGTTTGTTAGTTTGTTACCAGTTATTTATAACTTCTTCCTCCTAGTAACTATAATAGTTTCTAGGTCATAATGTCACAGGCAAACAATATGAAAATAACTCTATGGCTGAAAATTAGGTACCAACATCCAGCAAACAATCAAATATCAGAGGAAGTTTAATAACACTATAACACTAATATTTAACAAGATGTAAGGAGTAGCATAAAACATGTTTCTAATTCTATTACACTCCTGTAATTAAAAAGGTTCTTACTATTTCTTTTTCATTAGTATATTCTTCACTATCAGCATTTTAGTTAACTGATAAATAACAGACAAAGAATGTTTCAAAAGCTAGTTGACCAGCATAGACAGAAGCCACCAATCACTTTGACTGGTTGCAAAACCTCTGTGAAGAACAGCTATCTTAGTGAATACATATTAAATCAATTCAATTTCAAAAAAGACATATTTAAAAAATTCTGTCTTTGCATAACACGTCTGAGCTACAACTTCTCTATTTCAGAATTTTCTAACATTAAAAACAGGCTGCTACAGTTTTGAACCAATTAGGAACTTAAAATATACATAATTACAAATAAGAATCTAAAATTTGAGCTCTCTAGCTTCTTGATTTGCCAAGATATTAAGAAATTTATCAAACCCAACAAAGAACACCCCTCTCTGACTTTTGAGATTGTCTGCTAATCAACTTGCATGGCTTATGGACATGTTTATAAATAATAGAAAGCTCAAATTCTTTCTATTGGTTGTAAATCTTAAATATCATTCTTTAGTTTTTGCACCATAAATTGTTAGTCAGCAGAACTGCTTGGTATAAGGTGATCATATTTTGGTACTCCAGCTACTAAAGGAATTTTTTTAACCTATTTATAGTTTACTTAAAAAGCGAGGTAAACTACAACAGTTTTGAGAGATTTATGTTAGCGACTGATATATTTTTTGTGTTCAAAAATGCATATTTGAAATATACATGAACTCTTTTCCAGACATCCAAATTTATGAAACTCAAAAAAACTTTTACTCAGTGCAAAAGAGCTTGAATATGCAGTAACAACCACAAATCCTTGTTTTTATGTATATATTTTATTTATTGTTATATATTTTTAACAAAAGTAACTAAAATTTAAAAATTAGAAAGTACTCAGCATAGCCTAACAAAGCTTCAGTAAAATAAAATGTCTAAAATTTCATGAGATCGAGCACTAAGTGAAATGTTACACTCAACAATCACAAGATGTTTTTTGCTAATCCTAGAGGAAACAGTTAATGGACTCCTGTATGATTTATTGCTCTTGGAACATCTATAACTAAAATTAATAAAACCATAAGAGGAAATAGATGTAAAAAAATTATATATATAATTTATTTAACAGGTTATAGAGGTTATGCAAATGAAATATGAAAACTGTAACATAAAACAAAGTATTTTTATTTTTAGCAGAAAAATCACCTTTCACTCACTGAATAAAGTTAACATTTTCCTCACCTGAAAATGTATTTCCGATAGATACTTTCCTCTGTGCAAACAGTAACTATTCCTCAATCATCTGCCTTTGAGATTTTGTGCATGCCACTTGACTTGAGCTATCACTCACCAAAGTCAGGCATTTGTACATAAACTGCACTAGTGCTTAATGTAATCATCATATGACAATAGCCTTCCACTGACAGGAGGGAGAGACATCCTTCATGCACAATAGATTCCCATGAGCACTTCTAATCAAAATTAGCTTCTGTCTTGGACAAGGCAAGAATAATGTGCACCAGTAGTGGGAATGAAGGGTAGGAAGGTATGCAGAGAAGTAGTTTTCAAAAATTCCCTTAATCCGCATTGAGTCAAGGGTAAAAGAAAGCATTAAACCCATATAACCTGACCCCAAATTGGCTTTTTACAATTGGTTTTGCAGTTACCCATTGTACTTTTTCCAGTAAAAAACCTTTGTGGTTGTTCGGTCCAACTGGGTCTGGGCACCTTTCTGTTGTATCCCAGACATGAATCCCCCCCCCCAAGTCTTTAAATGAAGCATAGGAGACCCTTGCCACTACCAGTTCCTAATCACTGGAATGGTCGAGTACCTCACTGGTTGTGCAATCATTCTAGAAAGAGTCCAAATGGGCAGCACAATATGGTTGGAAATAGGGCAGGGGTGTCCATGTGAGTGTAGTGTAGTTAGTGTAGCCAGATGGGACAAAGTGCTCTCCTCCTAAAACATAGAAGAGACCTTCATCCCCACTCCTGTAATCTACAGTGAGTAAATGGTACAAAGTGCTCTCCTCCTAAAACATAGAAGAGACCTTCATCCCCACTCCTGTAAATGGTACACCAGAACACATACCAAACTATGGTCTGATCATTGCTCTAGCTACATTGCACAACACTTCACGTCCAGCCGACCAGTTGAGTGCAAATGCTCAGTTGGTCATGCACTTTTTCACCCAGTTCAGTCAAATTGACCAATGTTGTATAGTGTTAGGGTAGAGAAAATAAAAGAAAACAAAAATTGTAAATGTATTTAAGAGGCTTTAGAAATTACACAAATCAAATCTGAGATTTTTGAGATGATGAAAAGTATTTTCAATCTTAATATGAAAATCACTTTGCACAGGACTATTCAAAACAAATACTCAATATATTCATGGACAAATCTTTTTTTTAGTTTATTTAAAATAATTCACAAAAAAATAAGATTTTTTCAATGTAAAAGACTTAATGTTTACTGAAAAACTGCCAAATTTTGTTAAGATATACGTACTATATTAAAAGTTAGTAGTATCAGATCTATAAAGACTTGAAATGAGTACAAAGAGGTCACATGGTTAGTCAAATCAACCAAGCCTGTATTAAGAGAGTTAACAGTTCAGAATGTTCATGTGTCTAACAATGACCAAGTGCTCCAGATAAGGGGCATAGTGGCATAATTCCCAATTAAAAATCAGCCATTTATGGCCTTAAAATAATATTGAGAAGTTGTTTTTCTGCTGTGGAAAAAAGGAGTATGGCTCTTGCCACTTTAACAATAGTAAAGAAATTAATGGGCACATTCTTATAACTTTATGCAGTTCTGCACACAATCTGTACAGTTCACACAGTAGAGTTGCAAAAATAAGTGCTCTCTAACTGCCAGAAGATTCTATTGGTGCACCAATGAATGATTCATTTATTTTGTAACCAATTACTATCCATTTTGTGTGAAAATAATGATACTATGCCCTCCCTCTTTTCTTTTGCTAAAAAAAACAAACTTTGATGTACCTGTAGTAGAATGTGAAGTAACGTGGACTGTGTCATGGCTGCTGGAAAACCACACAGCATTCTAATCTATTTCATGTCATTCAACAGTAACATAGATTCTGTTGAAAAAATCTGCAAAGAGATTAGTGATATGATTCTATTAAATATTGAAACTATCAAAAATCAGAAACCCGCTGGGGTTTCACTCACAAAAAGAATAACTGATGACTGGAAGGCTAAGTTCAGTTGGTTTGTAACTGATTCGACAAAGGATGGCGAATGGACTTCAACACTGTGGAATGACAGACATACAGGATTTCACTCCACAATCTGCATAGAAGCTAAGCTTGACAAAAAATTATTTACTAAAGGAGGTTAAGGTTTGTGTTCCTTTCCCCCTTTTTTAGCAAGATTGCTAACATTTATTGTTGAAATTGTGTATATTAAGTATAGAAAATGGCATTTTCATTAGATGTTTTTGCACTACAAGCCCATTAACTACATCCAACCCCTAATTGAAATAGCATTATTAACAAATTATCAAATGAAATGCATGGGCATTCCTGGCAAATTAAGAAGAAAACATTTATTAAATACACATTTAAGTAAAAGTGAGCAGTTAAAAAATGTGAATACTGTATAA